CACTTGCTAAAAAAGCTTCCAGAGTATAGTATAGGAGAATAGGTATGGTTCTTAGCTATCAGGAAATGAAACCTCCAGATTTAAGATTTCTGTTTTCTTAGCTGAATAGACTTTCAGGGATACTCAATTGTCAGTATCTCAGTTTTGGAAAATGTAATGCATCCAATGAATCCCATTGCAATTTTGTGGGATGTCCAGCATTTTCCCTGATGTACCTTCATGCAGTGCATCTCAAGCTTTTGTGTAATGTGAATCATTTAGGCATCTTGTGATAATGTAGTCTGATTTAGTAGGTGTGGAGTGGGGACCTGAGAACACATTTTTACTAATATCCTAGGTGTTGCTGGTTCTGGACCTAAAGCTTGGGCAGCAAGATCCTCCTAGGTTGCGGGGTGACAGGTAGTGCTTACTTGCTCATTGCAAAGCTCTCTGCGTCTCTCTCTTCCTGAGGCTGTTGTCTTCTTCCCATGCCACTTTGCTCCATTGTAGACATCATAAGCCTGCTTTGTATGTGAAGAATTTCACCTAGCCTTGGGAATCATGAAAGAATGAAAAGACAACGTAGACATGGAAATAATTGGACTCAAGACTTAAAAGTCCTCTGGTCATTTCTGCTACTAGCAGTTTGTTCCTGGCATCCATCCCTATGTCTTCTCTCTCCACGGCTAACTCAAGTTCTTGATATTTTTATGTCTCTAGTGATTGCCTCTCTGTCTCCACTCTGGAGTGGACTCTCTGTGCACTTCCAAAAATGAAACACAGGCGCTTTCTCATTTGACATAAAGCTCAGGACTCCACTGGGTGGAGAAAACCCTTATGGTGATTTTTAGTCTTTTTCACTAATTTATTTTGCAGTACTGGGTACCGAGCACTAGGCCTGTGCATGCTAGGCAAGCTATATCCCTGGTCCTTCTTTTTCAGATTGTTCTTTGATTTTTATTCCTCTTACCCAGCACAGTGGCCAGCACAGAAGCACGGAGTGGATGTTTCATAAATGCTATTTTTGTCAACAAGGAGATAAAACTGTGATGCAAGAGGCTCCAAAGATCAGAATTGAGAGATCCCTCTTTCAAGGAATTTTCTCCAGTGCCTTAAACCCTATTATTGCCTAGGATTCTCACACAGCACTGTGGGGAAACGCCTTCCCTAACTCTCTCTCCCTTTTTCTTCCTTTTCTTCTTCCTCAACTTTTGCCTCTGATTCCCTCTTTCTCTCTGCTCCCACCACTGTTTTCATTAGAAGATCAAAAGTTGTACTCAGAGAGACAGAGAGAACAGAGACAGAGGGAAAGGAGGGCTCTTCCTCTTCTTCTTCTTCTTCTGCTGCTGCTTCTTTTTTTTAAAATCTAAGTCCCAGATAATTTATACTCTCATAAACATCAGCACATGAAGACTCTGGCACAGCATTTTCATCTGACAAATAGTTATTACATTTAAAAATAAGAACTACATTGGTGTCAATTGCAAATTCATGGGGATTCTAGAAAGTACATATTGGGTTTGAATATTCTCCTCAAACAAGAAAAACTAAATTAACATATTCAAAGAATCCTGAACTAGAAATACTCTTTTGCATTAAAAAAAAAAAAAAAAAGGAGTCAGGGGCATTATTTGAGGTTTGTGCACTCAGTAACAGATGCTCTCACAGGGGTCCACATTTTTTTTCTTTAATCAGGGCTGGAAAGGTAGAATTATGAAGGGGAATGGGGCCTAGACTTCCTATACTAAGGACTAAAATGACAAATAAACCATATATTTAATTAGTTTGAATAACATAAGTAGAGGAAGACTTTTCATGCTTGAGGAAGCAAAGAACTACAGAAAGCTTGAAGGTCAAGAGTAAAAGCCATGATACTTTGAGGCCCTTGTGACCTAGTGTTCTCATGGTGTATTCAGAGGGGCCTGACTAACATAAATATGCAGTGTTCAGGAAAATTAGGAAGAAGTGTTTTAATATCATTTGGTGACAAGACAGACTAAAATAAGTTATATATATATATATATATATATATATATATATATATATATATATATCTTTTTTTTTTTAGTGAGTAAGATGGGGAGAGTCTCAGTTTATTTTTTGAATTTAATTTTTTTGAATACTGTTTAAACTGTTTAAACCTAGTGCTGTTAACTATCTGTTTTAGTGAAAAATCAGATCCCAAATGAAAATTAAAAATAAGCAGAAAACTGAAAAATCCTTTAATGTCTCTACTGGTTAGTTTAGACCATGACATGTTGCAGAAACAAATAATTCAGAAGGAGATTTCCCAACCCCAGTGTCTTAGAACACCAGAGGCTCTTGTTTTGTTTTTGTGATATTGGGGATGGAACTCAGACCCTTGCACAGCTAGGCAAGTGGTCTGTCACCAAGCTATCACCCCAGCTCCAGAAGCTCATTTCTTGGCCAGGCTGCCATGCCCAATGTAGGTCAGCAGGGCGACAACTCATTGTAGTCACCCTGAGGTTGATAGGGGCTCCACCTTCTTGCCATGCTGTCATTTCCCCACATATTTCCATAATCCCCAAGGCAGAAGAGAAGTTAGGTGAATGACACATGGGTTTGACATTCTTCTGCCTGGAAATGACTTACTTCACTCACTTTCACTCACATTTCATGGGCCAAAGCAGTTCACATAGTAAGAGGCATTTTGTTGCTCTTAACTTTACCTATCGCCATTCACCTTTCTTGGTTTTTGCATGCATAATATCTTCACTCCCTCCCTAAGAAAGAGCACCCCAAAGCCCCATGCAATCAGAATATCTCAAGAAAATCTAGGGTTTCTATATGGTGTATATAATTCATTATATAAGGTCTGAGCAGGTAGAATAGGAGCAGGAAAATAGCAACAAATACTTGTACTTGGAAATAGAGCAGGAAATGCATGGGAGTTTTGACCTGTAGCAACTTTGAAACCTGGTTTGGTTGGATTATTGGGAACTCATAGCCAGACACTTGGAATATTCTATACCACACTCTGGTTCTGGGAGTGGATCATCTCTTTTACTTTGTGGCCCCCAAATCAATTCTTTGGGAGATTCAAAGAAAGTTTTTTTTTGTTTTTTTTTGACCTCTTAGTAATCTCTTTAGCCACATATGAAATGGTGTTGGTGAATGTTTGGCTTGGGGGTCTTATAGTTCCTGCTCCTCAATGTTAGGGGACTGACGTTTGGTTCCTGATCAATTTTGAAAGCTCTTTCAAAAACCTAGCAAACTTCTCATTTAAGTCCAGTTTTTTTGAGGCATAACTTCCAGAACATTTCTGTTTCTTAGCTTTTTCATTCCTATAAATTTTCCTATCTTGATTTAAAGGTAGGTTACAAGAACTGTCTATATTCTTACACACTTTATTTTTCATTTTTTTGTCCAATTAAAAGGATTCACTTCATACTTCATTCTGATTCTTGTCCTTAGAAAATTTATTTGGTTGAAAGTTTTGCTAGATATTTCTCCCTCAAAACTTTTTTCAATCTTATCTTCTACTTTTGGATAATAGAATAGCCCCTCTCTCCTTCCCTTTCTTCCTATTTTTTAATCATGGACTTCTGAACTCTCTTTATTACCGTTCTATTTTGTTTGTAGACTATCAACTCCTTCCTGAGTTTCTCTCTTCTAGTATTACTTTGTCAAATAGAGAATATAGCATCCAACACCCACAACAAACATTGTTTTCTAATCTTTTTCTCTAGAGCTACAAGTCATTAGGTGTAAGATCTGCTTCTCAAGTTATTGCAGGCAATAGTTTTGCCTAATGCTTTGCGGTTACATAGCACAGACCATCTTTGATCCAGCCTAAGGTTTGACCACCTGCACGGCTTGCCTCCAGACTGCTGCCACCATGCTACTATTCAGTCTTGCATTAGGGTAGCATCTCACTTTGATTTCTTGATCTTCAGATATATTGCAGCATATCTTGATTAAATGTATCTTTTTAAAATTAGGACAAAACCTCTTGAAATTAGATTTCTAAAACTAACTGTGTACCATCAGTACAACAATCTCATGTTATTACTAATTGAATTAATGCTACAGATCTGTTGATTCTGCTTGAACTTAGTGATAGCTAGTTACTAGTTCTCTAGTCTGGCATCCTGATAAGATAGTTTTTTAATTTTTTTTACACAGAGGGAGAAAACTTTGTGACCACTGGATATAAAGGTCAGTGTCGCTCCCTTCTTACATAAGGGATCATTTTGTTCTCTTGCACAATTCATAAAATCCTCTTGGATTGAATTATGTACTCTTGGTTAAAAGTGATATACTTGTTTCTTCTTCAAGATGGCTGGTGTATTATTCTGCACATTGAGCTATAGCTCTGTATGGAGTAGACCACTGAAGAAAGTGAGGGACTCAATCCACATACTGAAATTTAGGTTCTCTTGCATATCTTGCTTTGGCAGCATGGATGATGTAAGCAGAGCTGACAGCTAAATGCATGCTTCTTGCTTTTAATGAAGCTAGCTTCTCTGTGTACGTGGAAAGTATATGGTGAGGCCTTAAAATTCTCTATAAGATGGGCCTGGGGACTTTAATCTGAGTAGGGGACTTTTCTTGACTCTGCATTGTTTTAATTTAGATTGTATATTGGGGATGCATATTTGGAGAAAGAGGCTGTAGACATAACCGGGGAGGGGCTAAAGTTACCCCAAATCTGTGAATACCCTAGAAAACCATTCTAAAATACATAAGTGAATGCAAGACAGGTGCAATATAAGCTCAGAGTTAATGAGGAAGGGAACAGTGCCTGAAAGATGATTCGAGAAAGCTTCTTGTTGGAGTTAAACTTCTGCAGAGGAGAGGTGCAGAGAAGACTCATAGGCATGTACAGGAGCAAAGTGGATGAAAGGCCCATGATCACAGAATTTTGATTAGTTTTGGAGACTTTTCCAATGAAGCCAAGGACAGTTTCCTCTCCATTTTATTTAACTAAAGAAGACTTGACAGCTGGAGGGCAGAAGAGGCCATGCAGCCTGTGTTGTCCTTACCATGTGTCCGGGAAGATGCCAGGAGACTATAGCAGTGGCACACACTGTGGGTTCCAGACCAAGTTCCTGGCACAGTTGGAGAACCAGATTGATAGGCAGCAGTTTGAAGAATCAGTTTGAAATCTAAATTACCTTTATGCAGAAGCAGAGAAGCTTGGAGGCCAAGCGTATCTTGAAAGCTGTTTGGCTTGTTTAACAGCATCTACCATCTTCTTATGCATGGAAACTCATTATGAGAAGGTTCTGAAGAAAGTCCAAAATATATTCAAGGATAGAATGAGAAAATATGTGCTCCCCAAAAATTCCCCCAGAAAGACATTATCGAGGGAGGACTTCAAATTGCTGAAATTACCATTTGTGAGGACAGAGGCATGAGCAGTGGAGGATAAAATATAAAATTAAAGATCCCACCTCCAGCTGGGACCCTCATCTACCCAGTGACCGATCACAGAGTCCCTACCTCCTCTCCAGAGCATCATTCCTTTGTATCTGCTACCAGAGCTGCAGTGCCATTTACTCCAAGGACGAATTTTCTAAAATTCCACACCTGGAGTGACCTCTAGTCTGTCAGCACCCACTTCGTGTTTCCAGATTGTGTAGGACTCTGATTCATTTCCAAGAAAACAAAATGAAGAATTTCATATTTTTTTTAATTCAAAGTGATTTAATAAAATATGCAGTTGGTCAGCCCAATGCAATGTTTTATTTCTTACCTGCCACCAGTACCATGAATTCTCTTCATTTCTTGGGTTAGGTTTCCAGGTGGCTTTAAACTTCATATCTTAGCCAGTGTTCAGTCTTATTCCCTAAAATTAATAAAAGGCTTTTTTTTCCAGGTGAGGGATAGACTATGTCTATAGTTAGGTTCATGCATTTTCCAGATTTCATAGAACTACCAGTTTTGCCATGATTCAAATCTTAAGATTGATTTCTGCTGCTCAGTTTCTCAAACTGAAGCTCATTGAAAAAAATATGTATAATGTATTTGTTTTATTATAGTGAAAATACCTAATTAAAGCAGTATTGCATGCAATTTACAGTTATTTAGAGACTTTTATGTTATTATTGCATTCCTTTGAATGTTGGAAAGATGTGGTATGTGTTGCTTGTTCATTATGGAAATAAGTAAGCACAATAAAGTGGGTGTTAACCCATCAAACACCTATGTCCCTGAATGTGTAATGAGTAAATATTTTAATTATAGATTTGTTATAAGTATAACTTGTGAGAAAAATTTAATAGGCTAATTTTTAATCATATTGGCAATTTCTTTATGATTCATAAATTCCTCATATAATATTCAGTAAACAGAAATCTTATGGTTGGTTCAGTTGAGTGAGTGACTTCAAAGTTAAACTCTCAAGTCTTAGTCAATATTTCTAGCTTTTATTTTGTCTATGTGTTCCTAGTGTTTGTGTTTCTCATACCCTTCATTCTTTTCTGGGTTTGAGAGCACTGTATTTGGGAGAAAGTTAAGAAATATATTATGAGAGATTGAAGCAGTAAGCAGTAAAAGTTTTACTTTCAAAGATATTATAGGTGCTAATGCTGAATTTGACCTTTCTTGGAAGTGGTAGTTATTCAATGTATCCCATAAGTCTGTGTAACATTTTAATTGTATAAAACTTATTTGTTACTTTATAGCCTCTTATAATGTGTCTGCCTTTTAAACCCATTGCAATACTTTGCTGAAATATTAACACATTAGTACAATTTTTTCTTAAAACAACAAAAAAATGGAGGAAACCTGTTCAAACATGTTAATAATAGTGGAAAATAACTTCATGATGCTAGAATGTGCTCAGCCTTTTGAAAAGTGCATGTGTAATTTTGCCTTATTTTAACAGAGGTTTTAAAAAGGTAAGTTACCATTTGTTGGAAATGTCTGTGTATTCCTAGGGTACCATGTGCTTCATAAACATTGATCCGAACTGAACTGGGACAAATGAAAATTTTGACCATTATTTAAAATTACACATCAGAACATTTGAAGACTTCTACTTGCTAATTCATTTTGGTAAAAAAAAGGATTATTAATCAGAGATAACCAAGAGCATAGCCATTTATATGTTATATGAAAAATGACCATTAGCGACTAGTAGGGGTCTAATCATAGGGTTAATTAGAATTAGTTCAGGAAGTCCACAAAACTACCTGGGGATATAGCTCCTGAGTCTCACTGATGCAAATCACTTTTTTGATTTCCTGTACAAAAAATGGAGCTAGATTTGGTCCTTTTGTTTAATTCCGATTATTGTATGACTGGAAAGTAGAACATATGGTGCGTGAGGAGGGTGTTGGCAATTTGTGGAAGAATCTAAAAGATCATGACAGTAATTTGTACCTTGGCTCATCTCTGTAGTAAATCAGCTAAGAATTTTAGTATAATTTGAGGGTAATGGGGGTGGAAGTGGGGTAGAAGAAAAGGAAGATTTGGTCTTTTCCCGTCATCCCTTTTTGTAAAGGGTCCCCTTTGGTTCCCCTTCAGGAAGTGAAATAGAAAAAAAAAATAAAACACAACAAAACTGCATTTGTCAGCAATGTCAGTATCTCTGGGTCAACCACAACTCAAAGACAGTAAGCAGGTCATTCAAAACAAGGACAGTGATTGCTATAAAACCGACAGGTACTCCTGTTGACACACACAGGCATACCCAGGGAGACCAGACTTGCTTCCTGCACAAAGCAAGCAACTGAAGGGAAATAATGAAGAGCCTACATGATAAAGCAATGGTGAGTAGCAATAACTCCAGCTTAAGGGTAAGCATTCCTAGGATTTCAGAAAAGCACATTTCTAGAGTTAGCCTTCATTAGAGTCTTTTAAAAAATTCTTCTTCTTCTTCTTCTTCTTCTTCAAAAGCTGACTTTAATTTTGATTCTTGCTTGGTGGAGAGAAAGAAAAAAATAATTAGAAAACTTATAGTGGGGTGTAAAACATAACTGATGATTTTTGCCCCAGTGGTGTTAGTGAAACCGGTCTTGAAAATCAGAATCAGGTCTTTGTTCTCCTGGTGTTGAACATTAAACACCCAAGAAATGCTGAGGGAAGACAATATGTTTTATTTAAGGAATAAGAGAGAGAGAGAGAGAGAGAGAGAGAGAGAGAGAGAGAGAGAGAGACTCCTCCAGAAAAGAGAGGGTCCAGAGCTGGTGCCCAAGGCAGTGGGAGTGTCTTGGCCCTTTGTAGATTTTAGGTTTCCTTTCTTCTCATGCCTTCCTGACTGAAAGGTGGGTGTGACCAAAAGGCAAGAAGAGAGTGGTCCAGGGGGTGATTGCTTGTGTTGGAAAGTGTGATCCTTCCCTTCCCCTGGAGGCTGTTAGCAACTGGGTGATGGTTGAGTGTTATCTATACATTTTCTTTTTAATAATCAGCTACCAGGTTGCCCTGGTCACATCAGCATGTGCATTCCTTGGTACACAACGACAGGCATGGTCTCTGGTGATCACTCATGATAGAGTTAGCTTGGCCTAAAACTCTTATCTCATGAGGGGAGCTTAGCCAGTCCTTTAGGGAACATGTACGTATGTATTTTACCAAAGGAAGCTGGGACCCCAAGTGGTTTCGTGATCCTCCCAAGAGCACAGGAGCATCCTGGAGGAGAAATGAAACACCCAGTGATGAATTTTGGACAGCTCCTGGAGGACAGAAATTTCCTGTGTTTCTGGTAGCAGGTTGTTTTTTCCATTGTCTTGTTCCTCTGATAGTCAGAGGGAGGTTAATGTGATGGAAATATATCCCCTTCCCTTGTGTCTGGACTCCTGCCAATGCCTGACATCAGCCAGATAAGGCCTGGGAAGAATTTAATATGGAAGTACATGAAAATAAGGCTTAGGAAATCAGGCACCATGTTATTGGCCTAGATAATCCCTCTTTTATTCTCCTTTTAAAAGCTGTGCAACTTAAAAGAGGTTGGATTTCATAAAAGGTTCATGGCATATGGCAATGATAACACTTATTTTATATTTGTGTATTATTTTAGAGATTACAAGAAATGTGGTAAAATGCAGTATCTAGAGGGTTTGGAGTCAGTCAGACTCACTCCCCTGCTGGATAAATGTGGGATTTTAGGTTAGTTAGTTAGCCTCTTTATGCTTTAATTTTCTTAACTGTACAGTGGAATAATAATGGCATTTACCTTATGGCATTTTTTTGGTGTGGATTAGCTGATATCATTGAGAGTAAATGAATCTATACTTTGTGGTGGAAGATCTTTGCATGCTTAGCTTTTGGATAGTTTGTATCATGCAACAGTAAAGATAGAGAAAGCATTCAATAAGTGTTAATTTGTATTATTATTATTAACCCAAGACTCTCATTATCCACTAAATAGATGGGAATTACTTCTTCATTATGTAAATGATCAAAAGCTCAATGAAATGATTTATTTAACCTCACTGGATACTGTAAACACAAGAACTGAAGCATAAATATAAGTTTTCTGGCTCCAAATACAGTATGCTTCTTTCTGAAAGATTCAGAGGCAAGATTGCTAAATTTAAAGCTACTGTGTCCAAGAAAATCTTTTAGGTAGTTTTGTTCTCCTAAGCCATTTCTATTTCTGGTTTCTTTGAAGAAATCTGATGGATTGTTAGCAAGAAACGTGACAGTGCAAGAGGCTTTGGAGTTGGACTAGACGTTGAAAGATTTGGCAAGCACAAATTCTCATGGACCTACTAGCTGGCCAGCTTCTGTAGGGCATTCCTACATGGGGTGGGTGTAAACTGTAGATGAGACTGGGGAAAATTCAAATGGGCTCTCTGCTGGGCTCACAATAGAGTGAGGTGCCAAGGCAGGCTGAGGATGGACATGTCCTGTTACTGCCCACCTGCAGCTGGAGCTTTCTCATTCTACAGAATGAGAGTGATATTTATTTACCTGTTTTGTAAGTGACAATAGAAATTCAAGTTTATAAAGTGCTCTGAACTTTTCTGGGAAGAAGTGCTCTTTGTTTTATTGCTAAGAATGAACAACAGCTGTGTGCTGGGGGCCTGTGAGCCCAGCTATTCAGTAGGCTGAACAAATTTGAGACCAGCATGGGCAATACAGTGAGGTTCTGTCTCAAAATAAAAAATAAAAAGGAATAGGGATGTAGTTCAGTGGTTAAGTGCCCCCCCGCCCCGATTCAATCCCTAGTACCAAAAAAAAAAAAAAAAAAAAAAAAAAAAGGCCTGCAGATATAGCTCACTGATAGAAAACTTGAGGTCCTAGGTTCAATCCCCAGTACTAGAAAAACAAAAACAAAATAAAAACCATCAACAGCCTTATCAGAGTTTCTGCTCTGTATTGCATAAATCTACAACTAAATCTATAGCTTTATGGAGCTAACCAGAGTGATTTGCAGACATCATCTGATTTTCTGATAAAGAGCCATGTGGTCTATAAAACTTATGCAATTCTAATATAGCTTTCACATTGTTTAAAATGCTTGGATCCTCTAGTGAGACAAAGCTAAGATCAATGTTGGTAATAATGACCTGCAATGGCAATAGCTCTAACCATTGACATGTAGGTTGGAGTCTCTCTGGCACTAATAAGGCTGGTGAATCCAATCAAGGTATTTATTGCTTCTTAGATGTAACTCTTTCACCTAATTGGGATAATTAATATTAGCTATGTAACTCACAACATAGTTGTTAATGTCCAGTATTTAAAGAGATGTGAAAGTATGTTTCCTAAAATTCTACAAGAATTCTTAAGTAAAAATAATAATGACTTGTTAGAAGCATGGTTATTATTACTAAATCACATAAACCTAAGGTATAGTTACTTTAGGCCTTGATCATGAAAATAGAAGTGATTTGGTGAATATGGTACACAAGGAGAAAGAGAAAATTCAAAGAGGGAATTTACTAAAAAACCTAAAATTTCTTAACTTTAGGGGAGCTATCTAAGGACCTTTTGATATAAATTGGAATCTTTTTTTTAAAAACTTCACAGCACTTTGTCAGGATAGGAGGTGCACAAAGTAAATTCCACTGTGTAGGATTAGCTCAGTATTGACTAATGCTACCCATATCAAATACTTACCATGTGCTGGTAGGACTCATTTTGAATTGATCATTGCATTTGATCTTAGCATTTTCTATTTTTTTTAAGTTGTAGATGGACACAATACCTTTATTTTATTTGTTTATTTTTATGTGGTGCTGGGGATCAAACCCAGTGCCTCATACATGCTAGGCAAGCGCTCTATCACTGAGCTACAACCACAGCCCATGATCTTAACATTTTCTGGTGGAGGAAACTGAGTCACAGTCATAAGAGTCCTGTATGGACTCCGGACATTTGACTCTAGAGCTACCACAGCATAGAGTTAAGAGAGAGCTGTTGAATGAGTGAATGATTGTGGGGGACAAGAGTGGATGACTGCTGATCACCTTGCTTTCAACTATTTTTAGTACCAGCTACCTCAGTACAACTAGTTGACATCATGAACTTTTGGTTTACTCTTTTCATTGTTTGCCTTCAGCATCTGCAAAAGAATAAGAGAGCCTTTTAAACCAACCTGTCTAATTACTTGCCATACCTGAAAAGTGTGAACCTGAACAACATTGGGCCCAGAGAATGAAAGCAACTAGGTTTAACTCTTCTTGTGCATTGTTTTAGACCTTGTCCATTCCCTATAAGGGTCAGTGGGGATGTTCAGATGAATAAATCATGGTCATGCCAAAGGGAAGCTGGCCAGATGGTCAGATTTTTAGTTCTCCTTTTAGTTTGGTTTTCACAGAGTGCTTTTTTTTCTCTGTGTTCCAATGATACCAGATAAACTGATACATCACTGATAGTATAAAATATACATTCCAGAGCTAAAGAGAAATAGTTTCCATATTCTCTATTGTTGTGCATCATTAACGCCCCTGCTTCTTTCAATTAGCACAGATAATTGGAACTTTGCTATAGTTGGTTTTGCGTAATGTTTTTCTTAATGCATCAAGCATAACCATATTGTTTAATTTAAATGTATCATTCTGTTCATTTGCTCATCCACTCCTTCATTTATTCAGAGAGTATTTATGGAACACCTGTACTATGCCCATTATCATACAGGGAATTATAATCTAAGGGATGTACATATGACATGAACACAAATACTACATTTCTAGATAATATAAAAATGCTGCTTGAGTGATAAATGGTAAAATTATTATTTAATAATGGTAAACATCTAATTAAGCCACAAATTAGTGGGGCCTTGATGGAAGGATATGATTCAACAGATAGAGGTGGGACAGTGAATTTTAAGAGGACAGATGGTTGGGAGGAAGGATTTTGTGAATATTTGAGGGATCTGAGGTTGGGAATAAAAACAAAAGTGGTCATTTTTTTAAGCCTTTGTTTTTGTCTAACAGACGTATATGGGCTTCACATAAATCATATAAACTGAGTATTATCATACATTTGGGAACAGGAGAAACCAGGGGCTTAATAGGGAAGCCAAGACAAGATTTAAACATAGTCCCAGACTTTACATCTCTCTGTCTCCCTGCTTATAAGGTCTTGAACTATGGAGGGCTTCAAGTGCTAGGCTAATGAGATTACTTTTCTGTTTGGCACCCAAATATCTTCAAGTATGACTGTTCCAATTTCCAGGTGAAGACTTGTGGTCTAGAGAGAAGCCCTGATCTCACTAAGGGACCAGGAAAGCTTGGTTCATCTAGATCATGCATTTTCTCATGCCTGCAAGTGACACAAGAGTCCAACCAACTGCAATCTTCTGTATGTTCCAGGTCAAGTGTCTGCTGCTATTGATGTTGGGGTTTGCCTTTCTGAGGGAAGCAGCAGCCAGAAAAAACCCCAAAACAATGGCTCCTGTCCTCCAGAAGCCTGGGAACTGCCCTCCTCTGGAGGACAACAGTGTGAAGGTTGACATTCGCATCCTCAATCAAAACCAGGGCATTGCCATATCACATGACTTTCAGAACCGCTCCATCTCCCCATGGGATTACAAGTAAGTGCACAGGAGACAGATCTTCACATCCTTTTGAAAACATGGTTATTTATTTTAATCATAAAGTAGAAAATTTGTAATATGTACAAATGGAAGAAAAAAGCCCTCATATTCAGTCTGAACAACAGAAGTTCTACTTTCCTTGGGAGCTCCGATTTTTCTTGCTGTTTTGGGCTAGGTCTACCTCTGTGGTTGAAGGTGGTAATATATTGCTTGCACTTTCTCCTTGACTTTCTGCCTTTTTTTGATTCATCCAGTTCCAGGTTGGAATTTACAAACTTTTTGTGTAGGAAGAAAGGATCTTTTAAATGAAGATAAATGGGAACCAGAAAAGTCAGTTAGGAGAGAGCCACTCAAATTTGACATTGTCCTCAAGGCATGGGTATGAAGGAAGAGTTGGGGAGAAAGGCCATTTTGGAAAGTGGATGGTAGTGTGGGGACCTTCGGTGATAGTCTTGTGGTTTTGTCCTAAGATATAGGTCCTAGGAACACAAAGCACCACCACTACTCTCCAAAAATGAGCATGAAAACAGGTTTCAGGTTTTTGGGGATCGTAGCATAGATCCCCCCACAAGAGGAGCATGTACCTTGGCAAACTGGCTGATTCTCTTCATACTTCATACTTCCAGGCAGAAGGGACTATTGAGAGAAAAACTAGCAGAAGGCCCTGGATTCAGACATAAGGCTTTGCTTTTCCTCCAAGTAGCAGGCTTTATAGATTGTATATTGGGAAATCTAGTGGTGATGTTCAATCTCTAGGTAAAGGATAAGCAATGATCATCATCATAATAATGCAAATAAAAATGAACTCAAAGATCTAACATTAATTGAATGCTAATATTGTAGGGGTGTATTGTATATGCATTTGTATCACTGAATGTTCTCCACAATCCCACCAGAGAATGATATGGGAGAATCACCATTTTATTATTGAGGAAACAGGTTTAGGGAGTTAACTGCCCAAGAGTGGCATATGAACCCAGGCTGCCTGGCTCCAGTACCCTTCTTACTCAGAGCTGCTCCCCTGTAGGCGAAAGCCCACTGCCACGGGCTCTTATCCATGGTCCATCTTCCTTTCTCTGGTCTCACCATTTCACTTTGGCTTGTTACTCTTGCAGCATCACCAGGGACCCCCACCGGTTCCCCTCCGAGATTGCAGAGGCCCAGTGCAGACACTTGGGCTGCATCAATGCCCAGGGTCAGGAAGATAACTCCATGAACTCGGTTGCCATCCAGCAAGAGATCCTGGTCCTTCGAAGGGAGCCTCAGGACTGCTCTCATTCCTTCCGGCTGGAGAAAGTGCGGGTGACTGTTGGTTGCACCTGTGTCACCCCCATCGTCCACCACGTGGCCTGACAGCTGTACATCAACTCTTCTGAGGAAGCTATTGAAATGCCACTCCTTACCCACCTCTCTGCAGCAAGTCCTGTCTGATCCCCAATTTTCTTCACTTCTTAGGGCTCTTACTGAGATCTGCATGGAATTCTCAAAGCTCTGTATTAAATGTAGAGTTAATTTTCTGGGTGTTTTAGAATCATTACATAGTCCTGACATGTTCCAATGTCTTGACCCCCTAACAATGGATGGAGGAAATTTAAGGAGTCCTTGGCCCACTCTCTTTACGTCATATAATGACCACCTCCTAGTCACACAGTTACCTTGATCCAGTGCCATTCCCTGGGATCTCTTTTGGGGAAAGAGGCCTCTGTTTCCTCTAGTTGGAAATGCAGAAAATGTATTTATAATGAGAGTGTGGGAGGGACTTTGTAGGGTGTGATGGGTTGGTAAGGATGGGGACAAGGATCTGGCACATGTCTGTAGGAAGCAATAACTACATGTTCATGAGGTTGGTTTGAACTACTAAATATTTATATTTGCAAGGGAATTGTCCATATATTTATGACCTATTGATTATATAAAATGTTGGCATAAAAATTAATATATGCAGGACTAATATAATAAAATATTATTTAAAAATACTTGAGGTGTTTATGTTTAGTCTCAGTTTGTACTCACAGATGGTATAGCCCTCAAGAGTTTGAAATTCTGTATTCATGTCATTCGTTTGTCATATTTCCTCTTCAGAATACTGGTGTTAGAGTTATTTTATTATTGGTGGTTCTTGAGGGTTGTTGACATGGATAATTAAGGAAAATGGTGCAAATAGTACCCAGGTTCACAGTAACACTTTATTGCTTCACCATTCCTGTTATATTATTTTACAGAGCAAACATTTATCAGCCTCTATGCTAGCCACTGGAGATACAAGGTAAAGCCAGAAATGTCTATGGAAGAGAGCAGTGTTGGCAGCAATCATTCACAGAATTCCTAGTCATTAGGGCCATGTGGTCATTTTGCATCCTTCTCATTGTGACTTCTGGTCCTTTAGATTCACCCATTGTCCTTGATCCATTTTTCTTTTTTTTAAAATTTTTTTATGGTTGTAGATGGACAGAATGTTTTTATTTTATTTATTTTTATGTGGTCCTAAGGATTGAACCCAGTGCCTCACATATGCTAGGCAAGTGCTCTGCCACTGAGCTACAGCCCCAGCCCTTTTATCCATTTCTTGTGTTTCTTGCGGGGCACATGCATATCCGTATTCCAGTCTCCATGCCTCCCTGGGGAAACTTAGAGGCCCTTTTATGCCTCCCTTGCCTAGATACAGCATACCACTTTTTCTCTTTTACTGCCAACATGCCACTGGCTGAGAGCACACCTGCATCATTGCTGCCTTCCAGGTTCCAGGGAGGAAGTGAAATATCTGTCTTCACTCCCACCTGGGACTTGACTTGAGATTGGCAGGTAGCAGGTGCCTGGCTCCCATTCCTTATTCTTGTATTCAATCTGTTGAGAGTAGGGGAAAGGGAGTGGTTGGAGAGGCTAACTCCTCACTTATTTATTCCAGAATCTTTTGCTTAAGATATAAATACTGACTTTTGTATTTAAAACTTTCAAGCTCTTGAAACTTAAAAAATCTTTCTCTCTTGGCTATCAAGAGCTTACTGTGGTTGGCTGGGGACATAGTTCAGTGGCTGAGCCCTTGTCTAACATGCGTGAGGCCCTGGTTCAATCCCCAACAAACACCCGCCCCCCCCATGCCCCAACGCAGAGTTCACTATGAATCTCACAAGTCCATTTTGATGTTTAAATCTGTGCAGAGAATTTTCCTTTCTCTGCTCATTTTGCAGAAATTGCCCTACCCCAAGGATCACATATATAAAAAAGCCCTGTAGATATCAGTTCAAGTATAGAAATGAAGGACTGAAGGGAGAAAAAATAATTACACTTCTGAGTGTCAAGATATTTTATGATTACATATGTACATATGTGATTTCAAAGCAGAGTACTAAATACTATGATCAGATACAAAATATTAGGATGACAGTTTGCTGGGAAATGTCAGAAAGGAGATGAATATGAAATGGTTTGGAGGAAAATAAGGGAAAGGCTTTCCATGCAAAGGGAGGAGCACCTGCAAAGGTCAGAGGTATAAGAAAGCCTAATGTTAGGAGAAAAGCGAGTAGTTTCATGTGCCCAAGATAGTGTTGACTTGGGGCCAGTGGGGAACACACAACCAATATTTCCTTAATGAATAATGAATGAATGAGTGAGCACAGCTGTAGACAAAGAGCTGTAGGCAACTGGGTCCCTTGTGGGTAGTTTTGTAAGCTCCCTTACAGGAGGTACAAGAGCATGGCTATATCTCACACAGGTGACTTTGGTGATGATGAACAAAAGGGATTAGAAATCTGAAGGCTATTAACGATTGGAGAGAAGGCAGATTCTCTCTAATGATAGATTCACCTTGTTAGAGCGAGATGGACCCCTATAGATCACTTTGTCTTTCTCAGTTGCAAATGTGACCTGGAGAATTAAGAGACTTGTTTAAGTTCACTGAAGTAGTTAGTGGCAGAAACAGATTCACTGACTCCAAGTTCATGATTTTTCGTGTTGATTTTGCAACAATGCTCTAGTGTGTCCAATAAGAACCCTTTTTGGTCATTTATCTACGTGTTCTAGGGATGACCCTTGGAGAGGGTACAGAAGTAACTCCACATTTCCAAATACATGGAGTCTTGGAGCCTGGGCCCCTGAGCACAGCTTGACTTCCCTGTTTGTGCTGAGGGTTGGTGGTCCATCAGGCAGTTGCAACTTCTCTCCTTTCCACAAGGTGGCATGCTGCAGGCTGCGGTTCTTAGATTCCTTAGCATAGGTTGAAAGGAAATGAATGGCTGCTGTATGAGGGTGTCTTGTCTGTTTTTTTTTTTGGGCGATTTGAGACACTGCTGTGCAGAATGAGCAGACTGTGTTCTCCTCCTCCTCCTCTTTCTTCTTTTCTCATCCTGCTATATTTTCTTTAATTAAGTACAAAGATCTCTACTCTCTAGGCATGTCACCTAAAGACCATTTATTTCACCCACTGCTCTGTTTGGCCACCAGTTTCTTGCCTCTCTCTTCAGCCTTTCTCTTCCTGGGGGAAGAGAAATCCATGGTTCATTGCCTTTGCCAATAACAAAAATTTTGGAGAGCCAGTGGCAAAGCTGTTGCCATTAGCATCTTGCCGCGTCCGGCTAACGGAGCCGAGTCCGGCGAGGGACGGCGGGGTTAAAAAATACACAGGACACCAAGGTTCTTCATCCAGGAGGGAGCGTGTGCGCGCTTTATTGCCAAATTTGTTCCCCTTATATATCTTTTTAACAGCTGCGGGAAATCACTCAAAAGTGAGGAGGGAAGAGTAATAACTGTGTCCTTGGGTTACCGTCACGTCACCGTCCCCTATCAGGAGGCTCAAACAGGTCAAGATGTTCCCGAGAGACACATATGCTCTAGGCAGATAAACAGGGAACCGCAAGCCCGTGTCACGGCCTTGTGAGCTGGCCACATTGACATGCATAACAAAGAACTGGGGGTTGAGTCCCCAGGGGCCAGGGCGGGCCTGCTACCAGCAAGTCCCCCTTTTTTGTTTTTTGCATGTCAATGGGAATCAAGTAGCCCCTGTCTTAGGTCGTCCACCTCCCCTGCACTGCTTACCCGTCTCTGGGGAGGCCCCATTCCCCTGGCTTAGGTTGCAGTACAAGCGTGGAAGTTGCCCGTCACTGGGTACTACAAGATCAGCTCTTGTCCTACGTAAACGGACACTTTTCAGTTAGGATGTCATGGCCAGCAGGACACAACTGCGGATCCCAATCATCATCTTTGCCAGTGGGATAGCTATGACCAGGGAGCTTTCTGAACGTAAGGGTCTGGGATGACGGCACCAAGTCAGCAGGGTAATTAGGGACCTGGGCAAAAGCAGGCATACATAGGAGGGCTCGGGTATTGGCTCCTGTCCAGTTACATCTCATCTCCGAATGGGTCGTAAGTACACCTCGTGGGCGGAGTCATCCATCTCCAGGCGTTGGTAGTGAACCTGTATTGGCTTGGAGGTTAAAATGTTAATCTGGTCCTTAATAAATTCAGTTATCCTATTTGTAACACAAGGTCCCAAGGTTGCAATCAAAAGAAGACCCAGTAAGGGCCCCAGGAGGGGAAGAAGGTAGGGCAGGAACCCATTCATCCCAGTCCAAAGAGGGTTCTCGAATAATTCTTTCCTCCTTTTCTCTAGGTCTTCTTGAAGCTCCTTGATTTTAGTGTGAACTATGCCCGATTTATTGGCATAGAAGCAGCACCTTTCTCCTAAGGCTAAACAGATTCCCCCCTGATTGGCAGTCAGTAAGTCTAGACCTCACCTATTTTGGAGGACCACTTCTGCCAAAGAGTCAATTTGGTCTTGTAGGTCCCTAATAGTGCCAGATAGGGTCTGCACATCATCTATAAGCTGCTGAGATAGACGGCGATAAGAATGTATTGCTGTACCCATTCCAGCTGTGCCTGTGCCCACAGCAGCCGTTATCCCTAGTGTGGCGAGTAACGGTAGAGCCTGTATAGCTCGCCTGTGTCTTCTCACTAGAGTGTCTAGGCTGGGGATGGGCAGGGGCTCATCCCCAGGGACAATGGTTATGTCAGGGAGGAGCAGGGTGAGAACGCAGACACCTGTCCAATTTGTAGGGAGCCTGGGAAAAGCTAAATTTCCACCACACATAGAAACTGTACCATTAGGGGGACAAATGGGCGGAGTAGGTGAAGAGTAATTCTTTACTAATGAGCAGTTTCCAAAGGAAGAGACTCCAACATCAACATCATAGGTATTATTTTGCATCATGCCCAGAAGGCAAGACATAAAACCACCTAGAGGCTGCACCTTAAAGGGTAGCCCAGATTGACATGTGTTGTCATCATCAATGGTATAATTAATGGAGACTGCCAATGGCATGACTGCACCTGCCGTCATGCAGAGCTAGCAATCACCAGCA